ATTTATAGAAATCGGTCAAATCCAATGACAAAAAAGGTTATGCCGCCAAAGAACGAAAATTTATAGAAATCGGCCACATCCTAGAAAAAAAGCAATAGAAATCGGTCAAATCCAATGACAAAAAAGGTATATGCCGCCAAAGGACGAAAATTTATAGAAATCGGTCAAATCCAATGACAAAAAAGGTATATGCCGCCAAAGGACGAAAATTTATAGAAATCGGCAACATCCGATGACAACAAAGAACGAAAATTTATAGAAATCGGCCACATCCGATGACAACAAAGGACGAAAATTTATAGAAATCGGCAACATCCGATGTCAACAAAGGTATATACTTATAACGGTAAATTATGGTGGTTGATGTTAACTATGTGCCGAAAGATATTATTATGATTACACTATGTTCTAACTAAACAATGTATTTACTATTTAATTATTTAATGAAAAGCCGTTTTTTAATTTTTTGTATCGACTAGCCGTAATTATTAGGTACCAACTACCTATCATAACATAATTGACAATCAAACATTACAAACATATATTTTTTTTATTTTTTCTATAAACTTTATACTTGATTCATCTTCATTTTTTAAGAATTATTCAGATAGTCAGATAGGTATATAATATTTTAGTGTAGTGTGTCAAGTGTAGTTTATAGAATCAATTGTTTGAAGTATTAAAATATTTAATTTGTATTCTGATTGATTTGAATTACTTAATTTATTGTACTTCTGTACACAAGTAACTAAATAGACTGATTAACCTGACAAAATTAATTTTGTTTCAATTATATATTATGTTATATATTATATTCTGTAATGATGTGATATACAATCTCAACATAATTTATTGTTTTAAATAATAGAAACACATTAAACACATTAAATTAAGATTAAAAAAATATATATAAAAATATCACTATAAATTACCATTAACTTCGTCAAACCGATCGTGTGGGACTATGGTATATGGGACTGGTTTGGAAAAAAAATCATCATATATTTGTTTTTGTCTTTGTATGATTGGAATATCAGTTTTTACGAATTCGAATTCTGGTGTTTTGTTCCTGTGGGTCTGTATGCCAAGTTTTTTGTCCACTATGGTAGTAAGGCAGGCATCATCAGCCACGCACAACACCGCTGCACGACGATCCTTAAATTGGAATGTAATGGTAGCAATTGAACCCGTTATTGCAAAAAACGTTTATTAACCACAATCAAAAACAATTACTTACACACTTCAATGGCCATTCCGTACGCCATTCCGTATCAACCATGTTTTCACTTGTAATCTACAGTAACAATAACATTAACAATTATTAGATAAACTATCGCCGGCATGGCGCGTATGAACCTAATCAACACTGATAAGCTATTATCATAATCATTTTTTTTTTGTGAAATTGAAGTACACGAAAAACTTCGCCATAAAATCATACACGGAGTTGAGCCAGTTGAGGTAATCAATTGTTACAAATGGCATTTTTATAATCACATAACCTCTAAAATCGTTCCTATTCACCCCATTTTACTGTACGTTACGTCTAGAGGCCTCGATTGGAAACGTGAATTAATACGTACGTGAACACGAAGTCCATGTACACGTGAATAAAAAATTTGTATTCACGTATACTTAATACGACAAATGTGTACAATAGTTAATACTCACGTGGTTGTTCGTTTGTCGTCATTGTCGAATATCCTTCATCGTTCAGTAGAGATTGCAAAATGAACGGCAGTAAAATTTGTGGTTAATAGATAGTTCATGCATTCAACACGATAATATTCTGACAGTGTTGCCTCATGATGTCAAAAGTTGAAATTAGTGTCGTGTATGCACTTTTCAGTGATACACCTCTACCGACACTTGAGTAACCAAAAGACCATAAATTAACCGGTTTCAGTTTAGCTCTCTAGACGTCGATATCGCTACCTTACTGTTTAGCCTTTCAATCCTCAACGACCATAAATTAACCGGTTTCAGATCAGATCGAAAGGATACAATTAACGTAGGACTACCTTCTCCGTTTGTACTTTAAATCGTCAACGACCATAAATTAACCGGTTTCAGATTAGATTTAAAGCGTACGTAGAATCGTGTGGCTACTCAAATAAAACATATAATCTTCGGGTCGGAAACACTTTTATTAAAATATAAAACAAACATAAATAATTCAATAATTATTTAAAATACTTAGTCTATACCACGACTGCCGAAGGTCCCCGAACAACGTCGTAAGTGCTGGTGTCGATCGGGGTAGTCGTGGTTTTTCGTCAAAAAATCGAGGGGTACCCCCCCGTTGAGAACTTTTGGAGTTTGTCCGGCATCATGCGGCAAATGTATTATATTATATCAAAATTTTGGAACATTCTTAAAAAATAACCATAACCCCTACAGCTATAAAAAAATACGTCCCTGTAAAGTGTAGGTAGTGTGCTATCCTGTGAATGAGTTTTTAGGGATAACATTTGAACTGATGAGCGATGAGGAGACGATTACCGCAGCGAGTCCGAATAGCTTGCATCATGCGGCAACCGTTACTTGTATCTACTACGGTATAATAGTATCAACGTTTTATAACTTTGGCAATACACTTGCTTAAGGTCCCCGAACAACGTCGTGAGTGCTGGTATCAATCAGGGTAGTTGTGGTTTTTCGTCAAAAAATCGAGGGGTACCCCACCGTTGAGAACTTTTGACTTACCTGGCATCATGCGGCAACCAGATGATATATCGTAAGTTTGGAAACTTTGTAAAACACTTGGGATTTATTTCAATGCAATGCTCAGATAGCTGAGGTCCTCCCTAATCCAACCATACCATTTGCAGAGCTCTTAGTACAAAACTCGATTTACTACGACCGTCCGAAGGCGAGTAGTTACGATATGATGAAAAACAGATATGTTCTGAACGGGGGGGTATTGAGCACATTACAACTATGCAGTATTTCTACTTTAAACAGTCACCAAAACTACAATTTTTGTACCAACTTCATAAAAAACATATGTATATATTGGCACACTCGTCAGCTATTAGGTGTAAAAGTTTCAAAATTATATGTATGTACTATGTACATCAGTATCATTGGTTAGATTGACAAGTGGAAATGGTCCACGATGATTACTTGCCAAATGACATAGAAATATTGGTCGGTTTTTAAATGTTATACTGCAAGCATCACAGCAATAACCCATTATAATTCAACAATAACTCTTAATAATTAAAATATTAAAAAATTCATCACTTCGTTCAGAATCTACAAAATAATATAACAACCGCGATACAATATACATTATCAAACTTCTTATCAATATTGTTAACCTGGTATCGATTATTTTCCACACCACATTCATAATATAATATGGTTTACCGTGTTTACCTTCTTTTTGATAAGGTGATTTGTGAGTCGCTTCAATATTCTGATAACTACCGGTCGTCATTATTTTATTATGATCATTATGGTCGTTACTATATCCGTTTTTTTAAGAATTTCCGGCCCTTTTGGGCCCCGTTTCCAGTTTTAAATCGTCTTTCGAGTGCTTACAAAAGGTACTCTGCTGCGATCGCACGTGAAATAATATATATCGCGTCGCCGTTAGAAATTGGAATGCCCGTCTTAGTGGTCATAAGTTTTTCTTTCGAGATATCCTCAATTTTTTTTCCTGGTTTAATTCGCATTTTGAACTCCCCTAACAACCGAGAGTACTAGTGCAAGGATGTAACTCCTAGATTTGTTAATAACATCAATTGGTTATAACAGGATAAATGCGCAATGTTTGAGATTACGTAATATTCCGTCCCCCCGCACCGCAGATCACTTCCCCGCCCTAAACCACCTTAAATAATGGTTTGCAATGAGCAGAAAAAATTTCAAAATTATCACAGCAACAAACTCTATACGATGATAAGTTTGAAATGTATGAAATCTTTGGAGAAATTAGGTGCCAAAATAATTGTTTGGTCACCGGTGCCAGGGTAATTCACAGGGAACTATCTCGACACCGGTGGCCACACAATTATTTTGGCACCTAATTTCTCCAAAGATTTCATACATTTCAAACTTATCATCGTATAGAGTTTGGTGCTGTGATAATTTTGAAATTTTTTACTGCTCCTGCTAACCATTATTTAAGGTGGTTTATGGCGGGGAAGTGATCTGCGGTGCAGGGGGCCGGTAATATTATGTAATCTCAAACAATGCGCATTTAGCCAACTATAACCAATTGATTTTATAACAATTCAAATAGCGAATTGCACAAGGAGTATTTTCGGTTCTTAGGAGAGGTCAAAATGCGAATAAAACCAGGAAAAAAAAATAGATGATATCTCGAAAGAAAAACTTAGAGCCACTATGACGGGTATTCGAATTTCTAACAGCGACGCGAAATATATTATTCCACGTGCGATCGCAGCAGAGGACCCTTTGTAAACACACGAAAGACGATTTAAAAGTTGAAAGGGTGCCCGAAAAATCTTAAAAAGTTGATAAAATAACGTAAATAATAATCATAACCGTAGATAATAAAGAATGGATAGGCCATTTGTGCTTATCATATGAAGAATATTGGCGGCAGGTTAGATTTGATAAGAGGTATGGTTGATAATGTATAATGTATAAATGTTTGTGATTATTTTCTTAATTAAATTAAATTGTTGATCCTTACTTGATAGTTATAAATTGAAAAAAAAACAAATTTAATGGACAGAGTAACTAGTGAATGTTTTATACATGTAATAATTAAATTATTTAAATCATTGTATTTTATTTTATAGCAACACCTATTAGTATGTCGAAGTGCTGAACAATACTTGCAAGACCAGCACATCCATCTGCAAGAATGATACATACGTGTACAGAGGCTGGCATTTAAAAAAATGTATGCAGGGTGTATGTATCATTTCAAGGTCTAGGTATATTATTAAAAATTTGTATTATTTAAAGTTTTTGTAGATATAATTTTGGAGCGGTGTCATTGAATAAGATTTTCTTTTTGGATTAATTAACGGTGAATCACATTTTCTTTTTGTAGTAATTATTGGCCTTGGAGAAGTGTTATGTAGATTTGGCGTCGGTGGGTCTTCACTATTTGAAATTAATTTCAACAATTCATCGGTAGTATAGCTAGAATTTCGAATTATTTTATGTTTTTTGATTATATCATATAGGTTCTGTAGTGCTTTGTTGTAGTTATTAATTTGGAGCTTAAAATCTTTGTGCAGGTCTTGAATGCTGGTTGATATAGGTAGTTGAGAAATAACTTTTGAAATTAATTTTCTAATAAAAATTGCCTTTTGTTGGAGGTTTAGGTGTAATTGTCCCTTGTCAAAATTGCCACGACGCTTTGGTTCGTGGCGTATCCATAATGTTGATGGTAGCTAAAACAAAATATGAAATACAATAAATTACCAAAAATAAAATACTGAAATCAAAAGCCAGTAATTGTAATAAATTATAATACATCATAATAAATTGCTGCGGTTAGATAGGTTGTACTATTAATGTCTAGTATTTTTTTCAAAAGTGGATTATTTTTCTCTCCTTCAATTACAGAATATAATTTATGCTGTGGACGATAACAAGTTCTGGTGGAGGATTTGATAGAAGTTAGAAGTTGATCGTCACACAGTTCCTTTAATATTGCCCGCAGTTTGGATTTGTTTACAAAATTCCTGGATATAACTGCCATTACAACAGTTATATGCTGGTATAAGGTATGTAGCTATGGTAAAAAATAATTTTAGAATTACATTAATACATTTAAATAATTATTATATGTTTTTCAAATAACATACAGTGTGGTTTTGTAACAAAATTGTATTTTCAAAATACAAATGCAGGCAAGCCAAAACAAACAAACGGTTTGTGGTGTCCTCCTTGAAAAATGTTAAGCAGGATGTTGGTTGAGTGGTCAGGTCAACTTGCATCCAACTACTATTTTCAGAGGACCTTGATATTTTGGAATTAAAAATTGAGTAAGTATTTTATAACATTTGTTACGAGGATGACTACTAGGTAAATATTGCTTTTATAACTTACAGGCAACTGGTATCATAAATTCATAACGCACATAGGGATGCATCCACCAGTTGTCCAGTTTGCTTAAAAAGTTTTTTAAGCAAAACTCCACATTATTCAACACATTTGATTGCAGTATGTCAATATGTGTTACTATAATTTTATAATCTTTAGCGATGAACTTTTCAATTTGGTGTTCAAATGTATCAATATAATGAGTTACAATATTCATTTTAATAATACTTTTTTTCATTTCTATAAGTTTATAGAAATGAAACTCAACTTCACTCAAATTAACACTGGAAAAAAGGACATGATTAATATTTATTGGAATGTTTCATTTATCAATCATCACTCACTCATCGCTTCTGTCGTGAACAAGACAGGAAATAGCAAAAGATATTGAATTGTCCATAGACATTATACTCTGACAACCAACCACATTTTGCCAAAACATATTGCAGAAATCTCCTTTCTGTTGGGTGGGAGGGTTGGCAAAAACCTCAGGAATATCAGCTACAGTTATTTGTGGTTGGTAGGGAACATTTTGTAGAATTTTTACAGCATTTAAATACTGAGCAAAATTTTTTGCCGCACTGCTGTCGAATATTTTGACAGAATCTTGGACAAGTTTGGCAGTCTTTTTTTTACCCAATTTTTTTGTTTTGAAATTCGATTCCACATATTCCCCTGCTGCCTTTAATACCATATCCCTCA